CCAAGCGCGCCACCCAATGCCATCTGTCCCACGCCTGCCACGCAAAACGACAGTAGATGTGAGTTTGTGCCACGCCTGCCACGTGAAACGAAGGTGGATGTGAGTTTGTGACGGTGGATGTGAGTTTGTGTGGTGACAAAGTATGTGTTGACAAAGTGTTTGTTGAGAAAGTGTGTGGTGACAAAGTATGTGTTGACAAAATGTTTGTTGAGAAAGTGTGTGGTGACAAAGTGTCTGTGGACAAAGTGTGTGGTGACAAAGTATGTGTTGACAAAGTGTTTGTTGAGAAAGTGTGTGGTGACAAAGTGTGTGTGGACAAAGTGTGTGTGGACAAAGTGTGTGGTGACAAAGTATGTGTTGACAAAGTGTTTGTTGAGAAAATGTATGTTGAGAAAATGTATGTTGATAAAGTGTTTGTTGATAAAGTGTATGTTGAATGTATGTTGAGAAAAAATGTATGTTGATAAAGTGTTTGTTGATAAAGTGTATGTTGATAAAGTGTTTGTTGATAAAGTGTGTGTTGGACAAAGTGTGTGGTGATAAAAAAGTGTGTGTTGAGAAAGTGTTTGTTGACAAAGTGTTTGTTGACAAAGTGTATGGTGACAAAAAGTGTGGAGGAGGGCGGAGGAGGAGAAGAAGGCGGCGGAGGAGGAGCCCGGGATACAGAATCAAAAACAAGAACCCCACACAAAGATGTGGGGAAAAACCATTCGCAGGAACTTTGGGGAAAAAGAGAGAGGAATCATGTAAACGCATTAATTACAGTAATATAATTGAATCATATTAAAAACACATAGATCGCATTTTTGCCAAATGCATGTGCCTCTTACATTGTGATTTATGCGGCCGTGCCCGCGTGCCTCGCCGCTCAGCATCCCTTAGGTGACAAACTTGTATGGTGCTCAAAAGACGGAGAAGTGCTAACAACCAAATGTTGTGCTGCCAGCCAGAAAAAAGTTGAACTTGGCCGATAACAGTTTACACAGCCTTTGGGTGCAGTTCTTTCTTGGAGTTGATTTGCCATAATTCTGCCGTGTTTTCATTCACATGATAAGCCATGTGTGTTCATTGAGTATGTGTGCCTCAGAGCTTGCTTCTCTTTCTTCGTGTTGATTTTGGGGTTTTGTAATATCCTCGGAATCGTGTGAAAGATTCAGAGCAACGGGAATGGCCCTTCCGCGATCTTGTTTAGGTCAAAGAATCCCTGGGACTGACATGTGGTCAAGGGATTATTCATACATAAAGTTTCTCATCAAACAGAACCCACCCCAAGCTGAGTATTTCCTGATTTTGCCCCACAAGCATCAACTTGACATAACTTGACAACTCGTTTCATCATTTTCTGCTTTGGGATGATTCATTTTCTTTTTGGATGTTTTTTTGACATTTCGCTGGCGTAGTTGATGGTGCTCTGATATGGCCTCGGTGTTGGCGGAATATGTCACCTATAGTGGCATTGTCCTTGAGCTCCATATCGCTGACGCCTCCGCACAATCAACATTTGAGCGTGCGTTTTCAGTTTCCAGGTATCGTGCAACTTTTGATGTGCTGGGACCTTTGCTTGTCGGTTTAGATTTCGAATGGAAACCGGACAAAGCAGGTCAGAACAATCCTATATCTTTAATGCAATTCGCTTGTTGGGATACGGTGCTGCTTCTGCGCGTGCCAAATTGTTCAGAGCTGCCACCATGGCTCACCCAATTTCTCGAATCCGGCGATGACGTTGTAAAGGTTACAGCTAGCTTTGGTGTTGCTGACAAGCGAAAACTGCAGAGGAGCTTCAACTGGGATTTCGATGCCAAGGCAGTCCATACCTCCTATTGGGATATAGCAGAGCTGGCAGCAGCCCGAGAGATCCCACAAGGGATGCTGAAAATGGCGCACCACTTTGAGATTCCTTTCCAAAAACGAAAGGACGTTGGTGCATCGGACTGGGAAAGCGCCGGTCATAAAGGTTTGACTGCAGAACAAAGAGAATATGCTGCAAACGATGCGTTTTTTCAGTTATATCTTTTGGGGCGGCTATTACAAGTGCCACCCCTGCCTGAGAAAAAGCTTTTGGATTCTTGGGATGCAATCAGTCAGAAGATGGAGGTGAGTCTAAAACGTGTTGACAATGCTGAATACTACAACAAGTTCATGGCCCTTCGGGATGTTATCAGGGATGCAGTTGACGTGCTGAGCAGAGCTTTGGGATCTGATGGTTGTACCAACATTAACGAATTAAAGCAATTCAAGTCAGTACAAGCAGCATTGAAGTCAATGGCGCCAGTCCAACTGAATGCTCATTTCCTCAGACAAAACAGCGACGTATTTGTGTGCTTTTTCCGAGACGGCACTTTGCGGGTCCGGCTCCAATCATCTGAAAGTGATGAAGATGTGGACGGGACAGAGACGGCTGAGCAGGACGATGCCACATTCCTTGAGAAGGTGCAGGAATCGCTTGCCGCTTATCGGCATCCCACAGGGAAAAAGAGGAAACTGGGTGAACCTCTTTGGGTTCCTGCTCGTGCAATTCTAACGCGAGCACAAGTCGAAAGGTTTGAAAAAAGCCCAGAGAACTCCTCGATAGAGACCAGTTACGACTCAGAAGACGGAATGCTTCTTCGCCTTGCCCGGCATCCCCGCGCACCAGATGACCTTGAATACATGGACGAACATATTTCCAAACTCAGTCGCAATCTGGACATTGACGTAGAAGATGCGAAGCAAAGACTGAAAAGCGATGAAAAATTCATGCAGTTCTGGAGCTTAATTCGAAGTGTGGAAGTGAATTCAGAAGAAGAGCGAGCCATCTCGCGAAACCTTGGCGCCAGAACTCAAATACTTGCTGATGCCCACCACCTCGCTAAGCGATTGTCAAGTGAAGTCTCTTGGATGCAATGATGTGAAATCCAGGGGCGTCCCTACGACCCACCTAGGATCCAAGACTTTCTGATATATTCTGGTCGCTTCGCGACGAGCACTGCCCGCACCCGCACCCCGATTATATGAAAGGCCACAGGCCAGGCTGGAAGCGGGAAGGAAAAGTGAGTGTAGGTCAGGGACAACTTTTGGGGATGCGGGGTGAAGAACACGGGCCTACTTGGCCCAACCTTGGCCGACTGGGGTCAAGCTTGGCCGTCCTTGGCCTTAAGTTGGTCGAACACAAGATGACATGGGCTGAACTTGGGCCTAACTTGCGCCGAGCTCGGGCCACTTGGGCCAAACTTCGGCCCAACTGGGTTCCAACATGCGCAACTTGGCACATTTGGGCGCAAGTTCGGTCCGGTCTAACATGACGCAACCTTGTCCTGTGTGGGGGGGGCAACCGCCCAAGTTGGGCCCAAGACAGGCCCAATGTCGGAGCATGGCGCAGCAAGCCAAAAAAAGGTTGGAAACAGCAGTGAAAACGCATGGCATGTCGGGTTGGGCGCAGCTTGGGCCCGGCCCAACTTGGGAGGTTGGACCCAACTTGGGCCTAAGTGGAGGGCCTAGGTTGGCAAAATGGATCCTAAGTTGGAGCCATGCTACGCACATGTCATGTCCAACATGGCGCAACTTGGGGTCCATTTGGTGGCAGGTGGGGCCAGCGTAGACACAACATCACGAAGCTTCATCGATGCCAAAGAAAGGACCGGATAACCCCACACGTCACTTTCTTGCAATAAGCACAAAACAGATGTGAAAACTTGATGTTTGATGGGAAAGGCGGAAAAGGCAAAGGAGACGGAGGAAGATTGTGTGAAAGAGCTTATGTGTGACAGAGTTGTATGTGACAATGTTGTGTGTGTGTGTGACAAAGCTGTGTGTGAAAAGAGTTGTGCGTGACAAAGTCTGGTGTGAAGAGGTTGTTTGTGACAAACTTGTGTGTGCGTGTGGCATGCTGTTTGTGGAAGAGTTGCGTGTGAAAGAGTTGTATGAGACAGGTTTGTGTGCGAAAGAGTTGTATGGTATGGAGTTGTGTGACCGATTTGTAGGTAAGAAAGTTGTTTGTGAAAATGCGGTGTGTGAAAGAGTTGTATGTGAAAGAGTTGTGCGTGAAAGGGTTGTGAGTGAAAGAGTTGTGTGGGTGTGTGAAAGAGTTGTTTGTGACAAAGTTGTGTTTTCAAGAGTTGTGTCTGACAACGTTGTGTGTGTGTGTGTGTACCATCTGAATAGATGTAAAACTTCTATTTTTAGCAGGGGGCCACCGGGGTCCCGGGGGGGTCGGTGGCCAACGAAGACACCCCCCCGGGACCCGTGTAAACGTACCTGCTGGCAGTGGCCCTGGACGGCAAGCCCTTAAGTGGGGGCCGTAGCTGGGCACTGCAGTGACAGTCCCTGGGTGCCGTCGTGCGCAGCTGGGATGTCACTATATATATATATATACACGCTGGGTCATCCAACCATTCCTGTCAGGTTTACTGAAGTGTTTGTGCACGTACGATGCATTCCACATCAATAATTCGATAAGCTATTTCTGAGCAAGTGTGTCCTTCATACCGGTTTCGTCAAGGTGGTATGAACCCTTCGGGGAAAGCCTTTCCAGGCTAAAATTTGACTCATAAAAATGATCTCTGAATTTACACTTTTGAATTAGTAATTCGTCTAAGTAAAGTGAACTGCTGGCCGTTTCTCGGTTTTCACCCTGTCGATCGTCAAGTGTTGAACAACTGGCTGCTGTGTGGCTTCAATTCTTTCAGATGATCTGCCTTACTGTCACTGGTAGTCTGCAGCCGCGACAACCTTCTTTTTTCAACGTTGCTCGAGAGACCGCTCAGCTTTGTGCTTCATGTTCATGACCAGGATAGGCGTCAGGACATGCTTTAGGTGTGGTCCTTTTTCTTTTGATGGTCTCTGGTGAGGTTCAAGTGTGCACGTAATTCACTTGAACACTGATAGCCGTCGATGGGGTTGATTTGAATACCGAGGGCCTTGAGCCTTATCACGAATCTTGCATGCCATTGTGGATGCATCATTTACGTAACTAGTCCCCCATGGGTCCCTTTTCTCATGTGTTTCTGCGTTCTCCTCTCTTCAGGTAGGTTGGGTCCTGCGCGTGCCGAGGTAGGCTTAGGTTTCGCTCTGTTAGGTTGGTTCAGGCGCTTCCGTCCTCCCCCTCCTCCGCTGGTCTGGTTCCGTGTCCGTCGGCCTTCGCTTTTCTTTTTTCTTCCTTGCCTTTTCGGGGGTTTTGCCCGTTTCGGGCTAGGTGTGTCGTGTTGGTGTTTGCTCTTTCCCTCTTCTCTTGCGTTCCCCTCTTCGCGTCCTGGTTAGGTAACTTTCATTCCATTTTCACTTTCATGTCATTTTCATCGTCATCTCATCTGCCCCGCTGTTTGTGTGTGTGTGTGTACCATCTGAATAGATGTAAAACTTCTATTTTTAGCAGGGGGCCACCGGGGTCCCGGGGGGTCGGTGGCCAACGAAGACACCCCCCCGGGACCTGTGTAAACGTACCTGCTGGCAGTGGCCCTGGACGGCAACCCCTTAAGTGGGGGCCGTAGCAGGGCACTGCAGTGACAGTCCCTGGGTGCCGTCGTGCACAGCTGGGATGTCACAATATATATATATACGTTGGGTCATCCAACCATTCCTGTCAGGTTTACTGAAGTGTTTGTGCACGTACGATGCATTCCACATCAATAATTCGATAAGCTATTTCTGAGCAAGTGTGTGCGTGTGTGTGTGTGTGCGTGTGACAAAGTTGTGTGATAAGGGTGTGAGAGAGAGAGAGAGAGAAAGACTTGTGTGGGACGGAGAGCCCGACGACGTCAAGAAAGACATCAACGTCTTTTTGATGAGATAGCGCCCCCTTCATGGTCATGGTTATAAGTGGGGCTGGCGCCCCCATGCCGCCGACCCCTGGGACCAGTTCTGCAAGGTGCCGCAGGGCTAAAACACCATGGCAGTGAAGGACGGATCGGGCCCGCGGCCGGCAGCCCATAGTGCCAAACGTTGCTTTCTGAACTGCCTAGAAGCTAGCTGCTAGCTTCAAACCCAACATGTCTTTTCGAATTGCTTGACAAAAGTTGCTTCTCTCACGCGCTCCCCCGCAACAGCAGGGGTCGGCGGATATGCGCGCCTGTTGGATGTGCCAGGTGGGATGTAGGTAGCAAACCTTGTATGGAGGTATCATGTAGGTCGTGTAGGACGTGGGTAAAGCATATTTTGATCTTGACAGCAACTATACAGGCAGTAAAAGGAAACCCCACGCCTCCGTGTGAGATGGGTGGGAGCGGTTAGTATAGGTAGTGAACATGGCATGGAGGCATCATGTAGTAGTGTATAGATGGCGCGAGGACAGCGTGTAAGTATACTGTAACTTAGGGGTTTTCACAGTGGCTAGCAACAGCGGCATACGTCTACAATAAAGCAGGCTGCTTCTAGGGTGTAGCTTGCCACAATGATTGATTGATTTCTATGGTGTTTTTCCGTCCGACGGAGAATGCTCAAGATTCGTTGTTCAAGTTCTTTCTCTCGGAAATACTTTCCACAAAATGGTATCCAAGTTCAAAGCGGCAACGAAAATCAATGTGACACGAGAGTAGAAATGTAAGGAAATGAAAGGTAAAAAGAAAGAAGCAAGAAAGGGAAGTGCAAGGAGAATTCAAAAGGAGAATGAAAGGCAATGACAGGATCATGGGAGGAGAGTGAAAGGAAATTATCCGAATGAAGTGATTGATGAACGCACAGTGAGAGGAAGCGAAAGGAAAAGGACATGAACCTGAAAGAACAATGTCAGGAAAATGAAACGGAAATGAAAGCAAAAAGAAAGGAAAGCGAGAGGCAATAAACTAAAATGAAACGACATGGACGTAAACAAAATTACAGGAACAGCAAAAAGCAATGAAAGGAAATAAAAGGAAGACAAAATAAATGAACGGAAAATAACGGAAAATCAAAAGAGCAAGGGAACCTGCAGAGAAAATGAGCAGAACATGTCAGTAAAATGATAGGAAACAAAAGGAACATGAAAAGGAAATAAAATGAATGTAGAAATCACACATGAAAAGGAAATGAAAGTAGCCGAAGTTCAAATAACATGAAAATGAGAGGAAATAAAAGGCAAATGAAAGGAAGTGAAAGGAGCATGAAAGGAGAATAAAAGAAAGGAAATAGAAGGATATTTGGAACCATAGGCTGGGAACATGCAGAAGGAAAATGAAAGGAACTGAAAGGAACCTCATTCTTTTTGTGTTATTTTTTGCTACTTGGTCAACCTCACTTTATAAATATTCATGGCATATTTGTACTCAGTGGGAGCACTTTGCATAGGCATCATTGATATACACACACACACACACCCTGCTTGAAGTACTTTATAGGTACGGCTTGTTGATGACACGTTGATTTACCTGTTCCGTGAATTTTTTGTGTTTAACACATATTCTACCAATAAAAATTTTATCTGTGGTATTTTAACCTTTAGTACTCAATTTTGAATATTCTATCTATCTCCTATCAATTCGGTCTGCCTTTTCGCGCACTTTCATCTTCTTCTACTGACTCCTTCTCTTCTGACTTTTCCTCTTCTCTGACAGCTCTCACACTTGTTGCTGCATCTGCCCATAAGTCGGAAGTTTGACTTCTAAACTTTATTCGGCAAATCAATACAAATCTTTGCAGGCTCCTCAGCTGGTATGTGGTATGCAGTAACTGAATGTGTTGATATGTGTTTGCGTTTATGTTTTTTGGCGTTTGCTTGCTTCCTTCCTTTCTTGCTTGCTCACTTGCTTGGTAAGTTAGTTCGTTTGTTTGTTTGTGTAGAGGCCGTGATACGGTTGATTTGGAGGGGCAACATTTGCTGAAGCCGCATCTGCCTACATAAAAAAGATATGCTGAGCCCTGTCTGCTCTTTGCATGCCAGTCTTCCAACGGCCAAATTCCAGCCTAGGTGCCAGAAGTGAGCTGGCAAGAGGCAAGAGAAGGTCTAGAGAAGGCGCTTTGGCTACCAAACTTCACTGCTGCATTGCCTGTTGGTTTTTGAAAGGCCGGAATGTCTTGTGCAATTTGTGAGCCGCTTGGCATGCTAGGTGCCGTGGTATCGCCACCTTCTTGGCGTCTACCTATCCGAGGGAGGCCAGCAGTGACGTGGTGATCAAGTATGAGCTAGCTTGACACCATCTGGCACAAGATCAGTTGGATTGCAAGAGACTGTTGGACGCTCAAGGCGTGTCATATAGGTCTTTTCAAACTAGTGTGTGAGACAGTTCCAGAGCATCTGTGAAAGCGGAGCAAAAGTTAAGTATTATGGCGCTCACCTGGCCACAACCAGGGGATCGCAATCAAGACTTTGAGGAGTGCTTTGCCGCGATTGTCAGAGTGCAGCGCCAAGGTGACAACTGGAGCGTGACACTGCTTGATCGGGTGTAATATTTTGGGCGCGACGATTCGGATTTAAGCATTGTTGTTTTTGTCAGGGGTCATGGCATCATGGGACATCGAAATTGGCAGATGCCAGAAGTCTTGTTTCGTAATCTGCCTCGAGGTCCGACAATCCCCAAAAGTTTCCAATGTTGGTGTTTCGAAAAATACTTTTCCATTGCGCAGCGAGGTTTGGCCAGATGTTCAGAGTGTGCAAGCGAAGAGAAAAGCCAAACGCTGAAGGATTGCTGACATTGAGCGGCGTGTTGTGTCAAGTCAAGAGTTTGCGCGAATCCATCTGTTGCTTTGACTATGCATTCCTCAGTCATGGTCAGTCCTTTCGGCTTCGCGCCATTTCGGACATGCTAATGCACACCGCACATTGGGACTTGAGAGCATCAGTTTCATGCACTCCGAAGCGTTCTGAGGCCAAGCCTGAGACCAGACCTCAGTGGAGTGTGAGCCGCACTTTGTGTAGACACGCTTTGTTGTTTTCTGCAGTTTAGATTTTGAATGCTGTAGACGTTGTGTAGCAGCGTAGGGATCCGCAAAGTTGATAAAGGGATGGTAATATGCAACTGGCCCACCAGCCCGGCCAAGATGCTCAAGAATGTGAAGAAGTCCTCAAAGGGTCAGTGTCGCTATCGAGCTGCGGATGTTTTGAGTAAGGAGCGGTAAACCTTCCAAGCGCAGCAGGCAGGCCCTTGTTGATTCGATGCCATGTGGGAAATTCGAACAGCTGACGTCACTGAAGCTTCACCTACTAACGGGCTCGTAGTAATGCGGTCTTGGTGCGGTCGAGAAACACTGCCTGAGGTTGGAAAAAAGGGCCGGACCTGCAGCTGCAGCGGCCAAGACGAGGGCGGACGCCGTACTAGCGGCTACTAGCGTCTAGCAAACCTTTTTGCAAGTCTTGAAGCGGCTTAGGCTGCTATCAGCTTTTGCCCCATGCAAAGAATTCCATTGCACGGGGTTGTTGTTTTCTCACAATTGGGTGGATGCCGATGCTTTCTCTCAAGCTTGGGCTGAACATATCCCACAGCCCACCATGTCAACCCGCAAACCGAACCCAAGGCAGCTCGGTAGCACTAGCAGCTAATTCCCGAATCCGTAGCGAAGGGTTCTTGTTTTCTTTCTTGGGCGTCTGGGGGTTTGCGGATCTCTAATCGCGTCGTCGCACTGTCTTTGGGGAAAGTGAAAAAAAGGTGATGTTTTGTGACGTGTGAAAGTGCATTTCGCGTGGCAGCGGTGGGGCTTTGTGGCACTCAAGCGAAAGTCGTTTTTTCCTGTAATGGCGTCATCCCCGCTGTCTATGGGGAAAGTGAGAAAAGGTGATGTTTTGTGACGTGTGAAAGTGCATTTCGCGTGGCAGCGGTGGGGCTTTGTGGCACTCAAGCGAAAGTCGTTTTTTCCCTGTAATGTTGTCATCCCCGCTGTCTATGGGGAAAGTGAGAAAAGGTGATGTTTTGTGACGTGTGAAAGTGCATTTCGCGTGGCAGCGGTGGGACTTTGTGGCACTCAAGCGAAAGTCGTTTCTTTCCTCTATTCGCGTTGTCGCCGTGTCGATGGGGAAAGTGAGAAGGGGTGATGGTTTGTGACGTGTGAAAGTGCATTTCGCGTGGCAGCGGTGGGGCTTTAGCACACAAGCGAAAGTCGTTTTTTTTCTCTAATGGCGTCGTCCCCGCTGTCCATGGGAGAGTGAGTCAAGGTGATGGTTTGCGACGTGAAAGTGCAGAAATTTGAAGACAAACGCAAGTCTGTCCTATGAGATCTACTTCTTTGTAAAAGTGCGGAATTTGCAACAGTAATCGCATATGTTCATGAAAAAAGGTTGGTTTTTCTGGTTTTTGAGCGGGGTGCTGAAACTTGCGCCATTGCTATCGCCGGCTAGAACTTAGAATCCCAATGAGGTCATTTGCTTTGATTCACCAAACATGTAATTTTCAGGTACTTAACCTTCGCAAAGTCATGTTTGCATATCCACTCCAAATTCCATGAAAGACCCCGGGCACAATCCTAATTACAGTAACTAAAATTATGAAATTCAGCGCTTCAGTAGCGAAAACTGGAGCAATTTTAGATAAATTTAGCATCATTTGGGAAATTCCAAGTTGCTTTGCTGGGTTTCTCACCCATTGCCACCGTTTGTTTGATGCATATTGATGGTCGATTCCTAGCAACGGACTGAAACTTAGAATGTCGGTCTTGGAAACTCCTCAGCGCCCGACTGCCCCTGCAAAGGCCAAAATGCAAGTTTTTTTTGCATTACTTTTAAAGGCGAACAAGTGAGGAGCAGAAAATTCTGGAAAAGGACAAAGCCAACTCACCTTGCAGCCTTGTTTTGATTGAATGTTTCACAAGATGCATTCCAGTAATTTTGCTTAGAATGTCGGCGCATCTTCAGCGGTTTCTGCGATGCCGCGTGTTGTTTTCGCAGTTTCTGGCCGCATGTAGAGCATTTCTGATGTCAAGCTTTACAGGTTCTTGTAGGCATTGCTACTTTTGATTTGTGGCGCTTTGCTAGAAATTGCGTTGAATCAGAGACAGATTGCGCAACTTAGTTTCATGTGTTTTCATTTCGACAATGCGTAATGCAGCCTTAGTTGCTGGTTCTGGTTCTTTTTTCATTTGTGCATTTTTTCTTTTAAAAAACTTACATGGTGAACTTTGGGAATTGGACCGTGGAAATCCTATTCTTTCCTTCTAAAGCTTCCTTTTTAAAAAACTGGTACCTCGGGATCTGGTTCCTGGAAATTCCGCATTTTCCTCCCCTGTATAATAAATATGACATTTTGAAGGGAAAATAGGATGCCTGTCTTGAGGTGCCTTGGATCTTGTATGTTCACAAAACCCCGTAAATATGCAGTAAATGGCATTTTTTTCTTGCATATGTGCTTCAAACGGAATTATTTTTCTGTTTGCTGTGTTTTGGACACGCGCGGGACTGAGAGAACATAGCATGCCCTTTTCTACATAAACCATGCATTTTGCAGGACAATACTGTGGTTTGATGCTTCGCTGTTTTATACCAAGGAAAACCAAAGCAATGGATTCAAAGACAAATGAAAAGCAAAGAAAAACACATGAAAATCAAAGAAAAACTATTAAAAACCAGCGCGGAACCAAAGAAGGACCAATAAAAAACAATGCAAACCAATGAAAAACAAAAGGCAAAACTGGTGACAGCCAAAGAAACATAAGAAATCGTCCCAAAGACAAATGAAAAGCAAAGGAAAACACATGAAAATTAACTAAATAACGAAAACCCAAAGATCAATAATGAAAAACCATTGGTAACCAAAGAAAAACCAAAGAAAAACGATTGAACAATATATAAAGAAAATTAAAAGAACAACCAGAAAGGAAAACCAAAGGAACCGTTGAAAAACAAATGAAAACCAACTGAATACCAAAGAAAAACAACAGAAAAACCAAAGAAAACCAATGAAAAAAACAATGAAAAGCAAAGAGCAGCAGATGAAAATTATCGAGAACCAAAGAAAAGTCAAAGAACAAACTAAGGAACTTCCAATGAGAACCATAGAAAAGCCAATGAAAAACCAAAGAAGGAACAATGAAAAACAATGGAAAACCATAGATAATTTTGCCAGCATTCTAAATTACTTTTTGCCAGGGACTTTTTGCCCCTGTTTTTTCGAGTTTTCCATCTTTAGTGGGGGAAGAAAATAAGAGACAATTTTGAAAGAAAAAGGAAACCTGTCTTGAGGTGTCTTGGAGGCTGAGCGTTCGCAAAACCCTGTAAATATGCAGTGAATTGCAATTTTCGTTGCGTATGTGCTTCAAACAGGGTTATTTTTCTGTTTGCTGTTTTTTGGGTATCCTTATGGAGGAAAACACGCTGGCCGGAGAGAACTTAGCATGCCTTTTCTTACCTAAAATATGCATTTTGTATGGCAATACTGTGCTTTGATGCACCAACACACTGAAACATATAATGCTGACCGGTTTTCCACAATTTTGACTTTTGAATTTAGAATGCCGCCAAAAACATGGAAAACCAATGAAAAAACATGAAAACCAAAGTAAAACAACAGAAAAACCAAGGAAAACCAATGACGAACAAAAACAATGATAAACAAAGCACAACAAATAAACAACTATTTAGAATCAAAGAAAAAAGGAACAACGAGAAAAAACAATGAAAACTACAAAAAAGAATGAACAATGAAAAACATAAGAAAAACTGATGACAACCAAAGAAAGCATAAGAAACCGATTCAAAGACAAATGAAAAGCTAGGAGAAACAAATGAAAACCAAAGAAACTAATGAAAACCAATGAAAGCCCAGAGAAAATAATGAAAATTCATTGCCGCCAAAGAAGAAACTAAAGAAACATGAATGAACGATGAAGAAAATCAAAGGGAAACCAAAGGAATCGTTGAAAAACAAATGAAAACAAACGAAAACTATGAAAACTACAGAAAAACGACAGAGAAAACACAGAAAACCAATGAAAAAACAATGGTAAGCAAAGAACAACACATGAAACTTGTTGAGAACCAAAGAAAAGTCAAAGAACAAACTAAGGAACTCCCAATGAGAACCATAGAAAAGCCAATGAAAAACCAAAGAAGGAACAATGAAAAACAATGGAAAACCATAGATAATTTTGCCAGCATTCTAAATTACTTTTTGCCAGAGACTTTTTGCCCCTGTTTTTTCGAGTTTTCCATCTTTAGTGGGGGAAGAAAATAAGAGACAATTTTGAAAGAAAAAGGAAACCTGTCTTGAGGTGTCTTGGAGGCTGAGCGTTCACAGAACCCTGTAAATATGCAGTGAATTGCATTTTTCTTGGCGTATGTGCTTCAAACAGGGTTATTTTTCTGTTTGCTGTTTTTTGGGTATCCTTATGGAGGAAAACACGCTGGCCGGAGAGAACTTAGCATGCCTTTTCTTACCTAAAATATGCATTTTGTATGGCAATACTGTGCTTTGCTGCAACGACACACTAAAACTTAGAATGTCCCCTGGCCGGCATTCCAAAAGACCCTTAAAACATGTTTTTTTTGCCGTGTTCGAACTTCACAAAATCAAAATTTTGGAAAACTGGTCAGCATTCTGAGTTTCAGCGTGTCGCTATACTGGGATGTGCCGCGTGCAAGGTTTGTAGTAAAAAGTAGTATCGGGAAGTATTTTGTGCAAGCATTGCAGTACAAAGTAGTACTGGGAAGTACTTTGTGCAAGCATTGCAGTGCAAAGTAGTGCTGGGGAGTTCCTTGTCCAAGCAAGCTTTGTCGTACCAGTAGTACCGCGCAAGGCGGTGGCGGAAGTTTCAAAAATAGGAAACCTATAGGAGAGGTTGGTTGTTGTGAATCAGGGATGGCAGAGCGAAGCCACTGATGGACTGAAAGATGATTGATCTCTCTCTCTCTCTCAGTATCTAGCTACCTAGCTACCTATCTATCTATCTATCTATCTATCTATCTATCTAGCTGTCTCTCTATCTATCTGTCTATCTGTCTACCTGTCTATCTATCTATCTATCTATCTATCTAGCTAGCTAGCTAGCTAGCTAGCTACCTATCTATCTATCTATCTATCTATCTATCTATCTATCTATCTATCTATCTATCTATCCCATGTGTCTATCTCGCTATGTATTTACCTATCTACCTATCTACCTATCTACCTATCTACCTATCTACCTATCTACCTACCTACCTACCTATCTATTTATTTATCTATCTATCTATCTATCTATCTGTCTACCTGCCTATCTATCTATCTATCTATCTATCTATCTATCTATCTATCTATCTATCTATCTATCTATCTAGCTGTCTC